ATGGTGTTATGTAGTGAAGCGTTTATCTGTCATTATAAACAGAGCATGCTGGGAGGTCACTTCAGGACTCTAACACTAAAATCCCCCAAGTGACATAATAGCCCACACTGACTCAGACACAACTGTTTAAGGTTGAGGCACTGGAAAAACATCAGTCAAGCTATCAAGATATTTTAATCAAACTGAATTTCCAAGAAGGGCATCTGGTCGTTTCACGCCAACTCACCTAGTTCATGTCATGGGGAAAGAATTACGTGAGGACTTTATTCAGTTAATAAGACCAAGCACAATCATACATCTCTACTTCAAATACTTTTTTGGACATTTTTTAATACTTTGGAGATAATTTATAAGACCTTCCAGTTCTGTGATTATATGTCTTCCTGCACTATAGGCTGTTTGTTCTCATTTGGTGACCACTGAGCCCCTCATCCAGCTTCAACAATCCCAGCACGCTTCCCCTTCAGACCCTCTGTTCATCACTGAGTCGCCACCACATCGCTTCCAGACTCTGGGTCCTCTCTCACATCCATCTAGTTCTCTTATTGTCTAGGATTTCTCCTGATCGCTACACACAGAAGTCAGACGCAATTTCCTCCGAGCAAAAAAGAAAAATCTGAATTCAGATAAAACTATTACTCAACAAACATGATTTTCGTATTAGTTGTTCTTCTCCAGATTCCTCGAAACCAAAGTGATTTGAAACAACTCAGGCTGAACTATGCCTGCCAAAGCCTGTCGGAGAAAGAGCTCAAACACTGTATAATAATGGTTTTCTCTTGATTATCTTGTTTTCATAATCGGAGGAAACCATAATTGCAACTGGGCTTAAATTTAATTACAGTTATGGTTTCCTACCATAATAACAAACTCAAGATAGAAACATTACACATAATCTCCTCTGTGAGATTATTTCAATAAATTAATTTTATTTACTGTTACTAAAAATCTTCTCTGATAAGATTACTATGCAGGGAAACATGGTGATCTTTTCTTATCTATCTCTAACAGTTTGCATAAACAAAACTTCTAATTCCCTTCTAAGCAGCTTGAAAGCCTCTGATGAAAACCACTGCACATCCTCAGATAACCTCTGTGCACCAAAACAACATTTTCTCATTTCTGTGAACTTTGAATTCAAGCACAACTAACTTTTTGCTCAGTAGGAAGAATAATCGGTCAAGGGCTTTAAAAATTGAGACATTCTATCAGCCTGCTAAAGTCATAGGAAAACAGCCACAAGCATGGATGACAGCATTGCTGGTTGTTTGTAAGTCAGCTGAGAGAAACAACAACTGAAAAAAAAAGCACATTTCTCCAACAACATCAGAGCATTTCGAGCTTCATTCAGATGTATCAAGAATCAAGGGATAGTAGTTAGTTCATGGCCAAATGATCCGTCAGATCCAACATTAAATTAAACACCAAAGAAAATCTGCTGCTTCGACAAAGACAACGCGATCTTACGATGTTACGATGAGCTCTGGGAAAATGGTGATAACAATTTTTCTGTTTTAATTAAAAATTAAAACGATAACTGACCCTGACCTCCCTACATGTACTCCCATTTAATACTGCAAAGTCAGCCCATTCACTAAGAGGCACGCGATGATTTGAAAGCAGCATGTCGTGCTCTAAATTGAGGCGCTAATTCTTGGCAATCAACTGTCCCTTGAGGCTTCTTGTATCTGCTCTGACACAGGCTCACAGCTGCCTCTTTTTTGGGAAGGGACGAAGACTTCTTTCTTTTTTTCTGATGTTGCAGATTCTAATGAAGCCCACTAATCTGTCTGTGAATTCATAACAGTCCGAACACATTAGACACGCTCCGGTTTCAATCACCGCACCGCTGAGACAGACGGCCTCTCAGCGAGAGTAATCTTTATCCTCACCAGAAATGACAGTCGACTCTGAATCTTCATCATGGCTCTTTTCTTTCTCTGTTAGAAAGAGCATCTGCCTCCACGCTCAGACAATTATGCATCCGATTAAAGCAATGGTCCAAAACATATTGGGGGGGAGATTTCCACTTCTCCATGCAATGTTTTCAGTGATCTTAAAGC